GAACTGCTATATTCTCAGTAAGCAGAAAATTCTGGAAGGCTTCAGGAAAATGCATTGCAGCTATCCAACCTGAACTAGCTCAGGAACATAGTTTTGAATTCTGGCAAGTAATTTTTCAACAAAAAGGGAAAATTGATGTGCATTCCTTAGAGAATTGGTATATCATGTGCTAGCATTATATTGTCTGTATCCTCTATAGCCTACATTTTTGATAGATTTACACGTTTGTTCACCATGGTGCACCAGAGTTAGCCAATAATAAATAGTGAATATTAAATACTGCATCAAGAGCCCTACTAGCCTGAGGTTATTATTTGAAACAGTGAGAACTCCAGTCATCCATGTTAGTCTTTGTTTAGTGGCCTGGCACTGCGAATGGCTACCACCAAACCCTTCTGATTCCTACAGACTGTGCTGCTGAGGGGCCAGACGCCTCTGATGACAGGTCAAACACGTGCTGGCACTGTTGCTCACCATGCTGACATAGGATGGAAGTGCCTAGCATGTCCTGACAGACCAGCTGTTGGCATCTTAAGCTATCTAGTTTGTTGTAAAGAACTAGGTTTCTCCCCTGTTGCTGGATCAGAAGTTTTGGTTGCTGGCTCAGTACCAAGGTCCAGGCTGACAGGACATTGCTCACTCAGATCTTCTGGCGTGCTGGGCCAGTGTCAAGGCTTTTGTGAGGGCTAACGGCAGGTCCGCCAGGCTCCAACCAAACCATACACCTTGGTGAGGGGACTGACTCAGGGCATCCCATTTTCCAGGGCTACACTGAAGCTATTCTGCTGTGAGGTTTTTAGCCAAATTATGACTAATGGTCCAGCAGAAGCTTTAAGGGAGAGGAGGAAACAGAAACAGGAGCAGCTCTGGGGCAGCTTGGAGGGTTGACATGTTCCTGAGGCAGCCTGGATGCAGCAGCCAGTGGGGCAGCTCGGAGTCATGGAGAGTGCAAAAAAGGCTATGGGCAATCCAGAGGGAGACGGCAGGAGACACCTTTAAACTAAGAGATTTTAAGCTACTATGTGAGCAAGAGTAAGAAAATGTGTGAAGACGGCTCGGGAGTAACGAACAGAGCTGCCGCAGAAGCACCATGCAGCCTGAAGATGGCGCCGAGGCAGCACGGAGGCCTCTCACAGCCCTGAGAGGGTGCGGCGGGGGCAGCTTGGAGGCCGCTCAGCAGCCCGGCGGTGGCACCGGAGGAGCGTGGAGGGAAGAGAAGGGCTTAGAGAAAGCGCTGAAGGCTGAAGAGCGGCCCAAGATGCTTCTGAGGTGGTTTGTAGGGCGCAGTCAGACCCGGGGTCACACGGAGGAGGTTTGCACCTCAGACACCTGCAGTTAGAGCATCCAACCTTGCAGGTGGATGGGCCCTTGCTCTCTAGAGACTGTGGAGGGACCTGCCCTGTTTTTGTCTCTGCTAAACACACAACAAATGGTACGTTGGGGAGTTAACACGGGGAGAAGGGAGTCAGTGGTTAGTAGTTAGATGTGATGTCATATTAACTGTTAAGAGCAGCTGGAGGGGATGTGGAGCTGTTATGCTGTTTGGGGATAGGGTCTTGTCTCACAGGGCTTTGCCACCTTGTTCTTTGTTCCCATCTGTACCCTTCAGCTCTTCTTTGCAGTAACAAACTTTGATTCAGTGCTGCCTATGAGGAGCTACAGCAAGATGCTGATACCTCCTGAAGCTCACAGTGCATGCCTATGTGGACTTACATGGTGTGTGGCCATGCCCCTGCGTGCATTACCTACGTGGCCAGGGTCTGAGAAGGCTGGAGGGAAGAATCAGCTGTGGCCTGGGAGCAGCATTAGTTGTGTTAGAGCACAATTTTGTCTGAAAAAGATAAGCCTCTTTGAGAGGCAGTCCAAAACCTATTATTCTGAATATCAGGAATTGGCAATTTTAGCTTGACATTTCTGTATTGTCAGGATCTTTCCAGTATAAAGGTGTCTGAACAGATACCAGCTGAACATCTCCAGATTCCCATGAGGCCATTGCCTCTTCACCTGTAGAAAATAATTGTGGAAATTTAGATATTTTTGACTTTTAGTGATTGCTGGTGCTGTGTTGTTAAGTGGTAAGTTGCATCAGCTGTTCTGTGTTGGGACATGACACAGAGGAGTGGATGAGATCGGGGGATGTTGTGCCTGCTATGCACAGAGACAAGGTGGGAAGTTCAGTAAAAATAGCAACAGCTATATCTCTTGACCAGCTTCCACCAGCTTACCATGTTTATCTATTAAGACTGAAGTGCTATAGGGTAGTCTTAAAATTGGCTGTGGAGTCAGCTGGTGATTCTGATGTTGCACAGATAGCTAATGGGTCTGAGGAGGCCATACTGCAGCCTCTTGTTTGTGTTAAATAAGTTTTAATTTTAATTTGCATCTTCTGGACAGTGCACAAGCCCCAGCCTGCTCCTCAGTAGCAGCAAAATGCTGATCAATGTTCAGAATCCAGTGATAAGAGGGGGTTTTCAGTGTCCATTGGGGCCTAACTTTGAGGCAGGGGGCAAGGTGCTTTGCCTGCTCTTTGCAACCTGTATACTGTCTAGCATATCTTAGCCACCTGGCTGATTCATTGCATCCCAAAACAGTTGAAATGCAAGGGAACTCAAGCAATTGTTTAAAATTGAATGTTCATAACTACATAAGTCAAGCTGCTAAATTTATGATGTAAAACCAAGCATCAATTTGACACACTATTCAGCCATGCTATAGGTAGCATCTGTAGTCACTTCTGGGTTCTCTCATTTCTTCTTGACCCTGATCACCACCCTATGGAGAGGTTAATGTTTTATTTTTCTACCATAACAACCAAAATGTTAAACCTATGGGAATGTGATTATTAAAGCTGGCTGGAAGAGCAGTTGCTTTTATTTTTGGTTGAAACACAAAAGTGACTTGAAATCCAGTTTTGAGATGCTATCTGTAGAGCTTCTCTGGAATTCTGAAAACATGGCTAGGATCTGAGATTCCAAGCCAAAAAGAATCTCAGGATCTGAGAGTCTGAGCTTTGGGACTTTTTTTTTTTTTTCTCCAAGTAATCTTTGGAAATGAAGATCAACATTTTATTTCAGAATGTGGAAAAAAAAAAAAAAAAAGGATTATTGAGAATTTATCTCTGTGAGCATGTGGGAACTGGTCTTTCCCCTTCTCTACTTTTTCATTTAATTATGGACAAAGTCCTCTATTCAGAACTAGGACCTTGTGTTTAGATGACTTGAGGGCACACAGCTACAGTTACCTTGACAGATGGGTGACTAACTTTTCTAATACGATCACACCAAGTGCCTGTTTGGTGGCTTCTTTTACTTGATTAAGAGAAGTTGTGGAAAATGTCATGAGCTTAGGAGAAATGAACAAAACAGTGATAGAATACAGGGGGTTCTGAAAGAAGGAAGACATAACAATAACTGTAAGATGACAGAAGCCAGTGGAGAATGGTAAAATGAGAGGATTGCCACAGGAAGCTTAAGAGGTTAATGACATGCGTCTGTGGATGCATGGAGTTTGCATGGGCCCAGATTTCAGATCTGATCCAACTGCAGCTCAGTTCTAAAGGAAAAGCCTATAAATCAGTCTGAAGATTATGGTGAATTGTGCTGTGTGCTCATGGTTTGTGATGTAACCAGCAGTTCTTGATGGAATTACAACTGCCCTGCTCACACTCACCTGCTATTTGCTCTGTATTAAGTTAACAATAGTAAATAAACTGTGTATTAGATTTCAAGCTGACCTGTTCATGGCAAATGAATTCATCTTGCCCACAGGCTGCCCTAATTTAAAACATATGTATTGATTTAAATCCTCTTGCTTCCATACATTAAGCTACTGTTTAGATTTTTGCCTCATCAATATTCTTCACCATTTTGAACAGATGTGTAGTTTGCTGTGGGTTTGGATCAAAAGTGTTCTCTAATAGATTTATTTTGTGTGTGTGTGTGGCAGGTGGTGGAGGAGTAGAAGTGAGGTGGACTATGGTGGCACTGTACAGTACTTACACCTATCACCTGAAACCAACAGAATACACTTTTTCTGTTCTTGTACAGGCAAAACCTTAATGAGAATCAAATGAAGTTTACTTTTATTGCAAGAAAGATGGGGTACTTCTTTAGTGAAAATACAACTGAAGTCAGGAGAACTATTGTATGATAGTATATTTCTCATACAGCAGTATAAGTCTCATAGAACGCAGATGGAATTTCTTAGTTTCTCCCTGACCTCTAAAGGATGAAAGAATTTTGAATGTAAAATAGAGTTTCTCCTAAGAAGAATTTTTTTAAAAATCTGAGCCTAATGTCAGACTCCAAATAACATATTTAGGCTTCTAAATAAGTTGCCTGGGCTTTTTACAAGTACTGAGCTCTGCCAACCCCTGCTGCTCTTAGGATACAGCTTCTAAGGCTGAACATCGTTTGATTGCATTTTCTTGCAAAGAAATACTAAGAATATGCAGTAGGTCAAAGTGGCTCCTTATCTTTGTGCGTAGATAAGGACTGCTGTTCCTCCTAGGAAACAGTGTCTTAGAAGCGGAAGGCTGCACTTCTTATCATTCAAGTATGTGCCATAAAGGGGTAAAAATAGGGACATTCAGGATAAGAAAGCTGAAACCAAGGCACCTGCTACCCAGAGAAGGAAACTTGGGAATGAAATAAGACTGTGAGTCTCTTCTGTTTTGAATAGTGCAAATCTTCACTTACAGGAGTAAATAATTTGCCTGTAAAGGCCTCTGAGATTACTGATATGAGAAAAGGCTTGAAGGATTTAGACTCCTGACTTTACCATGCGGACTAAATTCCATTTACTGAGTTTTACAGAAGTTGAAAAATGTTAGAGTTGGCTGAGAGAATTAGATTTCAATGCCTATTAAATATTTACAGGACATCCTAAATCCCTATTGAAATTCCTCCAGTTTATGACCTAAACAGAATCGATTAAACAGAAAAGTTGAAATAAGGTTTTCAAATTGTATCACTGTTGCCAAATAATGCATAGTTCATTCCATCTCACAATATTTTAATCCAGTATTCACTTTGCCATGATACATAATGCAGGCTATTTACAATGATTGCCATTCTTTAAATGCCAGTTTTCTTTTAAAACAAGCAGCAACAACAACAACCAGTCCCATACCCTGCTCCAAACCTTGTTTGCAAGGATTTTCATTCTCATCACTAATGTGCAGATTTACAAAGAGCAGAAAAAGGGGGTATTCTTATTCTTGGAGATTCTGCCTTGTATACTACCTGCAACCACATTCTGCTACTTTCATCCCTTCGTAGTTATATATCAAAGTGGGCACACCAGCATCATCCTTATAAAGAATGGAGATTGAATCCAATTTTGTTGGAACACAGCAGGCCTTGGAAGCTTTCTTTGGGTTTTGGAGATGCACCAGAGTTTGGACAATAGCATGTTTTGTTGGTGTAACATTATCTGTCAGAGGGAAGAAGCAACCTCCTTTACACTCAAAAGCCTCATAATCTTTTGGTGCAATGATCCAGGAATCCCAGCCAATCTCTTCAAAATTCACATGGAGGGAAGTTCTCCGGCAGTGGTTGGCTCCGATGCTTCTCTTGCTTCTGGAGAAATGCCGGTGGGGCCCAGTGATGGCCTTTTCCTCTCCCTGTTCTTCCTCTTCAGATGAAGTGTTGTTCTTTCCTAATTTCTTTAGCACACTTTCTTGTTCATGAACAATCATCTCCCGGAGCTCCACTTTGGTCTCTTTTGTCCCATTGCTGCGGTCATTGGAGAACACTATTAACAGGGGCAGATTTTTAGTGTCAGGGGTAACACTGATATCCAGCTTCCCACAAGTGAAACCACCCAGAGCCTTACTCTGTATAACAACTTCTAGCTTATTTTTAGCCTTCATTTTGTCTGCCCTGACCCATCTTTTCACAGCGCTGGACACTTCAAACATCTCCCAGCCACACTCCTGGATATTGTGGGAGACAAGGAAAGATTTGGTACTTTCCGGGTTTTCCCAGTGGTCACCATCTAGAACATCATAAATGACCATGTTGCCGTCCAGCCTAGAGAGAGACCCAACTTCCCTGTGGCAGGAGATATAAATTCTCAGTTCAGCTCTGGTGATTTCCTCATATCGTGGAATAGAGATGTTGAAGAGCAAAATGTGTTTCTGAAATGGATTTTCTTCTGGTGAAGCTAAAGAAACAACATCTGCAATAGGAAATTAAAACACGTGGTTACAGTGCTTCTGACTGTCCAATTAACTTGCTTTTAAAAGACTCGGGGTGTATTTTGGGGGGTAAAATAAGAGCATGGCTACCCAGCATTAAAAAAAAATTTAAAATACCATCTTCTGACCAAGTTTCAAGTGCAAGGAGTGAAAAGAGGAAATGAAGGCCCCTGGTGTTGGTAATATTTTCACCAACATTGCATGTTCAGGTGAGTGTGTGGAGGGGAGCTTAAAGAGTCTGCCTAGAACAAGCTGTGATTGATGCTAGTCAGTATTAAGTACATGAATAAGGAGTCTGGGGAGTGTTCAGATTTAGCAATTTCCTAGAGCTTTTTACACAAAGAATTCCTAAAAAAGCCCTATGAATTTCCTGTGTTTGTCATCATGCAATGGGATGAACTGCCCTCCTAATATAGAGAAGTATACTATGTATTTAAGTGTCTCTAAGAACTAGCTGCGCTGAGGCTTTTGTTGTTGTCTTCAGATAACTTTGAAAGCAGCTTGGATTACTGGGAGTTTGGGGAAGTGGAAAAGTTTTTGAAAATCCTAAATTGAAACTTGAGGATCTGTCTAAATTGGGACTTGGTGATAAACAGCCTTTCATGCCCAGGTCCCAGTCCATTCTGGGCTCGACTCACTGAGCTTCGGAGGATTTTGTTTGTGTGTTTCTTTTTTTTCTGGAAAGGTATGTGCAGTACAGCAGCTCTTCCTTGGGAGGGGCAGGTATTTGGCTGGAAGGTCAGATTGGTAGTGTTTAAAAGTCATCACTGACTGATGGCTATTTAATGGTCAATGTAGGATAATTACTCAATCATGATTGGATTTTAGGGCAATTTTAAGTGACTAATGTTGACAGTTCACAGTGTTTACCCACTAAAGTAGTTGGAAAGTGAGATATGGAAACCATAATAATCTAGCTCATACTGTTAAGTTTTCTTTCCATTTCAGGACTGGGGTCACTAATTTGGGAATTTGGAGTTCTCCATAGTGCTATTACCTGTGTATGTCTATTTTTTCATATAAACAAAGCTTTGATTCTCCCTTTCTCATTTTTATAACAGATGGCATTTACTTTAAACTTTTTTACTGCTTCTTTTGATGGATCTTTTAAAAGTTTGTTTAATGTTGCATGGACAGGGGTCTTGAATTTTTTAGTTGAGACAAGCTTGACTATCCTTTTGCATATAAATCTGTCCAGCTAATCCAGAATTTTGGGGTAACACTGCCATTCCTTGCTTGGATCCAGAGACAAATTTCTCAGTTGGCTGCTGTGTTTTTTAAGAATGCAAAGAGCCCACCTGAAAGAAGAGCTCTCTAATATGGATGTCTCAATTATAGGTGATCAAAAGTTTGCTTTCTAACATTAAAACTCAGTTCCAAATCTCTAGCTTTGAGAAACGTGATTCATATAAACCCTGCTATTAAGTGCATTGTCTCACTTGACGCATTTGAGAAGAGAATATTGTACACTGAAAATATCAAAGAAGAAATCTAAAGATAATTGTCTTTTTTAAAGATTGGAAGAATCTACAGAGCAAGACAACAAAATTTTAATCTGTTTTGTTTCTAAAGAATCTGTGGAAGTCAGGCACTCAGTTCCCGCTGAATTTCAAAACAATCCTAGTACATACTGTTCATGTACTACTTTAAAAATTCTAGTCCACGTATTTAGGACTTCTCCTACCTTCAGTACTGAAGCTCCTTACAATATTGGATGCAGGGATGGAGGACTTGTCTGCAGCATATCTGTTGTATAAATCGATCATGAACTGTGGTGGTTCTTCTTTGGTCTTCACTTGTGAGGGGACTCTTGACAAATTCAAACTCCTTAGTAAATCCATCTTCATATTCTCCAGGAAAGATTTAAAGTCGAAATGGGTCTCATCTTCCACTTCCTCAGGATTATGAAAGTGTGCATCAGACTTTCCCATAGCTGATAACTTGTCCCAATCTTCCAAAGGCTTGCCTCTTGTCAAACAGGCAATGATGTTGAAAACAGACAATGCAGCTAATACTCCGAAATAATGCATTTCTTCTATATTTACTTTCTGGTGGAGAGACAAGAGGACAAAGGTATTTTAGCTAATTAAAAGGCTTGTTTTATTACAGACAGAGGAAAGGAGATGGAAGGCAAATAACTGGAATGCCCTTTGCAAATCACTTTCTTGTGTTCTTTTTGCAGTCTGCTTCAAACCCCAGCCTCTTGTCAGTTGTCAAGCAGATTGGTTGTACACTTGCCCTTATCAGAGTCATTGATGCCATGCTTCAGCTTCTGTTATCTAGCAAAGCTCTTAGTTAATGAAGATTCTGTAAACATCTGACAAACACATGTGGCTGGTGGGAAGGACAGTGTATATTGTAAAGAATCCACATTTCACTTTAGGGTCATCATTGCTTAATTATGCTCTTCTATCATTTCCTTGCCAGCACAGAGAGAAGCGTTCTTAGGGACGTAGGAGATTGCACTGTTTTCATCAAGACTAGAAAATAGAGATCTAGAATAAAATCAGTCTACTAGCTATTAGTAAATAACATCTCACAGTTCTTTCTTACAGTCCCTTCACAAGCCATCAGAAAATCCCCGTTCATTTAATGGAGACCTGTGATTCTGCAAGACGTGTTCTCATCACAATACAAACAACCTTAAAACTTCTTTCTGTTTATCAGCCAAGAGCTATTGTTTGTACACAGTGAAATATCTGTTTTGTCTCAAGTTTGCTTCATGTTGTTTTCAGGCTTGTCCGTTTTCAGTTTGATTCCTTTGGTGTATGGGAATTTAGTCTTGTTTTTATAGTATCTTATGTAATATATTTCATAGATTCTCGATGGTCAGTCCAGTACAAGAATAAGCAGTCATTATTTCAGTGACCTCAAAATGAAGACAGAACTAGGCCTTATAAGGCCACGTGGAAAGTAAAAGGTCTCTGAAGATACGGAAGATTATCTATGAAGATACTGTTATCCATGAGAAGATTGGGCCAAGGCAAAAATACAAGATTGATGATAGAATTTCTCATGATACAGAAGAAAAAAAAGCTAGTTTATAGACAAAAATATCACTTGCTGTTTATCTTAATGAATTCATTATGGTTTAATCTAATGATATGTGTTCTTTCTGTATTATTAATGTATCATTTTTTCTAAGAACAACTCAATTGATACTGTCATAAAGTCTGAATATTATTATGAGTTTTTACATTAGAAAAAATCTAATTTCAAATATGCGGACAAGATTTTGTTCTTTCTGGCCATTCTTCTCCAGTTTTCTAGCAGTGTATACACAGCATTTAGAGTGATCCCAGACTTCTCAAATACTCACTTATGTGCCTGTTCAAGTGACAACTGGGATCCAAGATCCTGGTTAATAATGTTCCTATGGTGTAAAGTCAGAAAGGATTATTTGGCACTGATCCTTGTCTCCTGCATAGCAAAACTGTTATGCTTTACTCAAGGCCTTTGTGTTTCCTACCTGTGTGCAGAGCCCAATTACGTGTGTTTGGCTAAAACATAACTTTTTAAGGGTCTCCAGAATTTAGCTGAAGATGTCAAAGAATCGAAGATTTCTTCAAATTTATAGCACTTACTCTAAAAGATTATCACTTACACGTAAAAACCCACAGTGCTTCATTTATTATTTCATTTACACAGTTTCACCTTCTAGACAGGAGTTCTTGTAACTTTCTGGCTGGCTTAAGGAGCCCCATAGCGCTGGCATTTTTTCTATGTCAAAGTACTTGTACAGCGTAATCAAGTTACTTCTCAGTTTGCTTTCTGATAAAATAAACAGATTGTGCTTTTTAGTCACATGTTACAGGACATTTTCTCTAACTGTTTTTGTGCATTTTTCAGAATTTGAATGTCTTTTTGAAAAGGTGAACACTGGGGCTATACATAGTTTTCTAGTGACGGTCCACCAGTGCCATATGCAGAAATCAAATCTCCTTTCCTTATGTGGTTCACTACTCCTGTGTGTATCTTTTCAAAGCCTGCAATAGCCTTCTGTACATAACATCACCCTGTATGCTCATACTGTGCCGTAAATCCATGATATCCACAAAAATTATTTTAAGAGTTATGGCTTTCAAGGGTGCAGTCTTTTACTCAGTAGGAGCAGCCTCCTTTCCTTGTGCCTAGGTACTAAGTTCTACATCTGTCTACCTTAAATTGAATTTTGATTACATAAAGTGCAGCTAGATCAGGTGATCTATATAAATACCTCTCTTAAACACTGTCTTCAGCAAATGCTGTGGGGGTTGTTACATACAGGCTTCCAGTTTATATATAAAGATATCCAATAGCATCAGGCCAAGTGTCAGCTTTGCAGAAACTTTACAATGAACAGTTTCATTCAGTGAAACTGAATGAAGTGGCAATTCCTTTTGAAAGCTGCTCTTTGAGGTTTGGTGTGAAACAATTGTTAACTCAAGTGATACACAAATATATTAATGTTGTCCTTTTGTTTCTTTTAATTACCCAGCCTTGTGCAAGTGAATTGAAATACTCCACAAAAACCTAGGTACATTCTAGCTGTTGCTGGTACCTCTGGCAATTAAACTCTGGCCTTCAAGAATGAAATCGAATTTGTTTTAGAAAAAAATGTCTGTAACACTTTGCTGGCTAGTATCAACTGTTTTCCTGTTTTGTCTGTCTTCAATCATCCCATATTAATATATCCTCAATTCTTTTAGGATTAGTTAGTGGAATTATCTTGACCTGCTTTTATATATGTTTGTCAATAGTAACTTTCCCTAGAAACTTAAACACTGAGTGGGATGGTTTATAGGATGTTCATAGAAGTCAAAAGATCTGTTGGAACCAGGAGAGTAAGGGTATCAGTGTCTTCCAGCAGCAGCTGACTGCATTTGTGCCATTTCAAATGCAAAGTTTCCCTTTCTAGAGGAATATTAGACATCCAAATACCATACACCTGGAAAGTAGTAGCTTAAACCACTAAACAATTAGTGGTTTAATACCTTGTTCGAATTCACCAGTACAGCTAAAGTCCAAATGAAATAAACTTTATTTGTAAGAGAATTGTATTACTTGTGTTGTAAGGGTATGCCTTGAGAACTATGCCACTTACAGGTATAATTTTGTTTTGCCAATCTTAAATAACATAGTTTTGCCAACAAAACTTTAAATGCAGACTAAACCTGTCAGGGTCTTATAGGTATACTAAGGAGTATAGGAGTAGAATTTTCCCTTATGTCCTATAGACATAACAGATCATAGAATGGTATCTCTTTCCTAATTGTTTGCATCAGCACATCTTGGAGGGAAAGTTTGTACCCAGGACTAATTCAAGATATAGAAAGGATTCTTTAAGGAAAGCAAAATGCAATAGATGAGAACATAAGCATACTAGGCTAATACATCATGCTGTTCAGAGCTGGTGCTAAATGGGAGCAAGACTAGACCTACAGAAAAGGATAGATTTTCATAGAGAACATGAATGACAATGATTTAAGATACTTTGAAATGTTTTATGCTTATGGCTGTTCCACAGGAATAAATGAGGAATTTCTGAGAACTTTTACATTTTTCTTTATTCATTAGCATTACTTTGTCAACTGTAGTTGAGTTTCTCATGATTTATAAAAACACAAGACCCTACATTTTCAAGGGAGATCTTTAACGGCAACAGTAGACAAAGGTTTGACCCAGTAGTTCCACTGTAAATCACTGTAGTACTTTGGGAGATGAATAAATGCCTAGTTGGATCCATGATCTTTCAGCAATCATAAATGGCAGTCACTGAAACTTATTGAGAGCTGTTTAGGAGGAACGAGGAAGAACTGCTGTGAGAGTAACCTTGCGGAGACTATCATATGAACTGAATCTTGCTTTTATTTAGATTAATAGGAAGTACCACATTTACACACCTCTGTTGCCTGAGAATCTGCACCACATGGATATGGAATATTGGTGGCAGAAGTTACCTAGCATCTTAGCACGATAGGAGCCTTTCAGTTAGTCATTAATCAGAAGGTAGTGTGTGTAGTATCCTTCCCCTGCACAATATGACTCTTAACAGGACAAGATAGGGAAGAAGGTTACACTGCCTCTAGAGGAGGAAACACTCCCTATCTTGCACTCTGTGCTACCCCACAGACTTCAGAAGTTTGTTCCACTCCTGGTCTGCCTATGCTATTGTACAGCGGGTGGGTGAAAAATTAATATGTGCAAGTGTGTCCTGGCATGTAGGGGCACTGAGAAAGAGGATCGACAAGCACGATGATGGAACATCAGCTCTTAAAGGAGTGCTGCAGTTACAAGGGCTACCATAAATATATCAACAAAGGATTGTACAGAAGCTAGAGGGATGCAGAGACTTTATTTCTGTAAAGACTTCCAGTGGAACCACTGCCAAATCTTGTGTGCCATTTTGATGTTCATTGTTGGAAAAGAAAGTTAATGAAAGTTCTGGAAAGAGTTCAAAAAAGGGCTGTGAGAAATTGTTTTGAGGCTTATAATAAGAAAACAAAGTATCTATTTAAATCCTAGCCAAAATGTAATTTGACACTGCTATATATACTAAAAATACACAGTGAAAGTATTTTGGATAATAGATAAAAGGGATCTAATAAAATAGGTTACAGTAAATTCCAGTGAATTGAAGCTAAAGATCAGCAAATTCAGACTAGGATTAAGCCACTTCGTATGAACAAAAAGCACTAATTTTTGGAACAACTACTTGTAGTCCAGCATCTATTCTATCACATGAAATCTTTAAAGCCAAATTTATGCATGTTTTTCAAAGATATTCCCAAGTTCAAAACAAGTTCCATAATGCATGGTGCAGAATGTACTGGGCAAGGTTCTTTGATCTGTGCTATGCAGGAGGTCAGTCTAGATGGTCATAGTATTCTGTCTTTAATCTATTGAGGTGCATTATGACAAGCTTAACATGTATTTACATGTTTCCATCTAATTAAGAGAATGTAACAGAGTGCATTTATAGAAAGACCATTAAACTATTTTTAGATACTACTGTACCTTTAATTTATTAGCTTTTGTTAAAAGCATGTAACAATCTAGAGGATATAAAGTATAATTTACAAAAATATAAATCTTGGTTATTTTATTTTTAGTATTTCAACATATTACTATATAGTATGTGTTACTCAGAGAATATGTTTAACAACCTGAAATTATCCAGCAAACCAAAAGTGTGGGATATTATGTATGTCTTTTGTAGGACAAATTATATATTAGGGGAGGGTAACCAAAAATGGCTATATTAACATATGTTTATATGAAAGCTTATGCAGTGCACTATACTTGCATCCTGAAGAAAATATACATTTTAAGCCCTTTATTACAGCATTTTTTCAGTATAAATATGCAGATTAAGCCTCTGAGTGTTTTAGGCAAAAAGTTTTGATTTGTGTACATAGGTGATATTCTAAAATAAGCCTGCCTTTGCAAGTTCACTTCCCATCTTCTTGGTTAACTGAAGAGATAAAATAGTCAGAAAAATAGCATATAAAAATGTATTTTAATCCTTTGATTATGGAAAACCTTACACTTAAATTTCTCACTAAACACCAGGTGTCTTGGCTAGGTGGGTTAGCAAGATATTTGTAAAAGTATAGAATTCCTGGAAGATGAATATGAAAGACAAATGATGACAGTAAGACATATCCTTCCAGGTGAGCATGTGTATTGTTTAAGTCTCTCCGCATGCTTTCTGTAGAGGAATTGTAGGCTTGCATTCATTCATCAACACAAGTGGATTCATTTCCCATTTACAACTTTCCCAGTGTAGTCGGGCAGGATGTGTGGGTCTTGTTAAAGATGAATTTGTATGAATTTATCGGCAGGCACAAGTTTCAACCGACATGTTGGGATATACCTTTAAAACAACGTTTTTGTTCTCATCTAAGAACAGGACACTGAGTGAGCTCATTTTGTCAGGAACACAGCAGGGTTCTGGGATGCCAGGAATGATTCCTACTGCTTTTACGATGCTCTGGATTGTAGCATGATTTGATGGCCGGACAATCTGGAACAGAGAAGGAAATAGT